TTACTGTTGTTATACCCAATAACACGACTTATGGATTCAGTGAAAGTAGAGGCTTCGGTCATCGATCGACTGGTACACAGGATACGGACTTTGATTTCGATAGCCTCACCATAATTGGGGTAAACGCCCTAAAAACGTCAACAGCTACCCCAATCTACAACATTATCCTTGCGCTAGTATATATGTGCTTGTTGAATAGAAAAGGCAGTATTCGATGATGTATCTCAATTAAGTAAAGCTTTAGTCCCGCAGCTAACCGATAAGGTTAACTTCTGAACAGATTCCCGAATCGGAGTTACTATATACACAAATATGCTCCTGATGATCTCATAACAAAATTTGGAAATGTCCGTCAGTAGGTGTATATACAAGGCGCAGTGGTTTATCATACTCTCCTAATGATTAAGCAAGGATTACATTTTATGCTAAAAAAAAACCAACACGAATCAAGACGCCTAAGTACTCCATGTGCTTGTTCCGTATTAAAAAACGTGAATATACCAACGATCTAACTGTCGCCAAGAGGTTCAAATGAAACTTACTTAGCTGTCGTTATGGACATGCATTCATTTATTATTCTTTGCAAGGCCAGTTTTTTTGGACAAAACGGTAAATCCATCATGGCAAGAAACAATGCGTCGTTTTTAGAATTTGATCGAAGATCAGGCATTTTCCAATGTGTTCACGCGGAGCAAACTCCCGCCGAAATTATAAATTTTTTATGCCCAAAGTTGGCGATCCATGTTATTGTTAGTTTTCATGCGGTTTCCTAAAAATCCAAAAAAGATTTTCGAGGGGCAAACCGGACGGTTCTCAATAAAGCTTAGACTTTAAGATTTCAGAATCTCATCATACACTTGGCACTTTTATATTGAAATTGACAGCCGTTTCCAAGGAAAGAATATCAACTACCTATTGGGTCGTTCAGATAACACTAATGTTTAATTTTCTGAAGACTTACTGCGTTACTTTGCGTCTCTTGTACTTAATTACTTCCCACAATTGTTGCAAATTAATTTGTTTTAGTTAGAACTATTTTGGAGATTATTAGGGAATCGAATATCTCTACCAGATCTTTCAAAAAAGAACGTGGTTTCTATGCCGGTATCATGGTAGCTTTTGAAAATAACTCACCTCTGTCATTAGAAATTCAGTAAAAATAATAGTTAAACCTTTCTTGAGCAATTTATAGTTTAGTATCGTTATCCGCCTTCAAGGACGAACTTAAGTAAGTCGAATTTGAAATTTCGATTTTCAAAAAGCCACTCTTTTAAGGAAAAACATACATCATCAAATATTTGTTCAAATGTTGCATCTGTTATCAAGTGCACTGCGACATTTGGAAGAAATAGTAGTATATTATCAATTAATGTAGAATTCCTTTTATAAAGTTGTATTTTCAGTAAATATTTAGATTCAGTCTCCTAGATCGCATCTGAAGCCTTAGCAATAAAACCTCTATGTTTTGGTTTTGACGTCCAATATCGCCGTTAGACATTCCATCAAACGGCTAACTTCCAGCATGAAATGAAATCTGTCCATGCCTAGGCTCAAAGTTAGACTATGACGGGTCCCCGAGACCAGCAGAAAAGCACGTCACCCACTAAGCTACAAACGACAAACAAACCTGAGGTATAAAACTAACTTTTTTTTTTTTAATTTAAAGCATTTACTTGGAGCATTAGAATTGCAAATAATATAGAAAACAAAAATCGTTAATGCTATCTTGCAAATGCTTAGGTCCTTGTGTAAGCACATTGTTTAGCATATCCATTTTTAATCGCGTTAATTACTTTATCGTCAACGGCCTTTAAACATTTCTTTTGTAGCAGTATAGGATCAAATGCTTATACTTCTTCTCGTCGCTTTCTTTTTTGTTTGAAAACAAGTAAACACTAGCAAATTATCATGAATAGCAACGTTTGCGGTTTTGGATGATACGACAGCGTTTGTCTTTTCTAAAACCAACTATCGAATACTGTGACACACCCGACGTGTCACACAGAAGGCGGCCGACACTTTTCATTAGCGCGAAATCACTGAAGCAGTTGACGAAATTCGAACAGATTCTATCTACAATTAAGTAGCGGTCTTACGGATAAAGCTGTCCAAGCACGAACAAACCAAAACATCATTGCCGTAACTAGCAGTGTGCATGCTAGTTCCGCGACCTCAATGCAACATCATCCTTAACAACTCGGTCTATTGTTGAACACACTGCGATTCACTTCGAAGCAAAAATTGCATGTTCAGGCCTACAAGCCACAGTTGATCCAAGCATTAAAGATCCAGGACCATAACAAACGTCGTTTATCCAGAGATCATGCGCGGAAACACGTGATGATTACATAATTTTTATCTGATGAGTGTCTAAATGAATAAATGGAACTGTCAAAAAATCCAAAGCTAAAAGCCAAGCAGCGACCTCATTCACAAACAGCTCTGTCTGGTGTAGCATGTGAAGCAAAATTGTCATTGGGATCCTTTTTTCAAAGATTAAACGTCAGCGACGATCAGTGGTGAGCTCTTTAAAGACATCCCGTAAACCTTCTTATGAATTGCAATGAGGGCATTTGATATAAACAGTTTTTACTCCTAACAAAAGGACGAAATTTTTTAAACGACGCGGGAAACAATTAATCGGATTGAAGCTATGTGTACAGGCCGGCTGATTTCATCGCGCGGTGACATCGAATGACTGCTAGTAATTTCAGTTCTTCCTCATGAGGCTAGATGAAGAATAGTGTATATCACGTAGCGCCGAAAGCAATCTCTTATTTGTTGAAGGAACGGACATTATTCGTGTTATTACGCCTAATATCGTATCCGTGAGGCTATTGTTAGAACTAATGCCGAACCATGCAGAGCCGCAACTTACAATTACACGAATCGGATCGAGATATATAAGCGGTCCTTGGCAGGACAATTGGTTGATACCCTTTTTCATGTACAATACAAATTAAATACCTGCGCTGCCCTAATTTGAGAATAAGAATTCGCACAGAAGCCCACTTTTTTTTCTTAGCTCTAGAGATGCTGAAACGGAATGCAAACGTTTGGCCTACCTCTTATGATTAAGCTCTTGAATCTAACCGTTAATTACTTCTCGTCAATGCCAAGACAAAGCATTAATTTAAAACGGCAAAGAGAAGATGTATCTGTCTGCAGCTATTCTGTACGTAGTATCGCAGAAGAAAGATTTAAACTTTTTGTCACCAACCAGTTTTGGATTGAACTTCGGATATACAATATTCGTATTATTCAACTTCTATAAAGCAGAGGTGTTTCTGGTTGAGTTTCTGAGTTGAGTTAATTACCTCAGTATCATTAAGTTCATCTAGCTGAATGAAGTGCAAAGCACAAAGCACTAAATTTAGAGGTAATATGAATTGCAGAAGAGCTTCTACCGTAAAAATTAACTAAGTATTGGCTTAGAAGGCACAGTATTCCTGAGGACTTTTGTTTTCTGTAGCTCAATATAAAGGAAGAAATATCCGTTCTTATTGATGTAATTTGCTACAAGAGAGATAATGATATATTGTTTCTATTGCTGCTTAACGACATCTTTTTATATAATAATGAATCCTTAGTATCTAAAGTGGTATTACTTTATTAAGCGCAACTAAACTGCTTAATACTGAGTCTTAAACTGGTAATTTTCATATTTAGACATATTGTACATTGCATACGGAAACAAGCCTTGGCTACTTGAAAGCTTCGATACAAGAACTATTAGCACTTCAAGCATGCCATGATTAAATAAATGTTACACAGGATGTTTTTTTATTCACTAACAACCAGGCGTAATCTGTGATTGAGTACCACTGCGTGTATGGTCAAGTATTGCTTTGCCCGTGCATCGCTCTGTATCTGCGCTAACTATTCGAGACTAAGCTTCGAGATTAGCTTGCTTTCAGTAAAATAAAGGAAAATGTTTTTTTTTCATGAATTTTACATTTTACTTCGCTATTCCGTTATTTAGGTCGAATGTGATTTAAGCAGAAGCACGTACCCGCATCATGACAAGCTTTTCCGTTTATCTCCTAGCGATATGTTAGTTCGCCACCTATGACTTTGCTTTCACTTACTTTGATTTTTTTAAAATTGGAGAACACTTGAGAATCGTTCTCTTCTGATAAATAGCGTGATTTGTGAGCAGCATTGACATTCTAAGTTGTGCTTATTCCAGAAATTCCTTAATGCACTCTGCTTATATGGATAGGATAAGCCACACTGCACTTTTATGTAAACGAATTCATGTTCCAGAACGAATCAAATTTAGCATTTGTATTTAATCAGACACAGTAGACTAGAATGACTGATATAGATATTAGTATGACGAAAATCTATCCTGGTTCAAATCCTTTTTAAGCTTTTTGTCATTGTCTTTCATCAAATTAAATCAAAAATGAAGATCTTCCCTCAAAAAAAGTTGTCAATGTATAAATGTTCTGTTAAGAAAGGTACTCGACTCTATTGGTCGTCAATGGCTTTGTTGGTAAATACATAATATGTGTTCTCTCTGTCACTAACGAATGGCCAAACTTTAGTAATGTGTATGTCAGCCCTGTCATCGGATGGAGTTTTGGATGAAATCACGACCAACGTTCTAGTTTTTTCTATTGACAACCACAAAAAACGAGTCGTATATTTTCTATGAGAAATGCACGTAATGCGAATGTGGATTTAGTCAGTTCTACAGTTCGTGTTTGCAATCTTTAGGCTCATGGGAAGTTTATCTGTAAGTAGGACGGCGAGCAATTATAGCCACAGTTGTTGTTTATTTTGCCGTGTCAACTGGTAGGCTTACTTATGTTTTCCTTGTTTTTGATTATACCAAGCTGAGCCTTCTGCTAGCCATTTCATATTGCTAACATGCGCCGGTAAGCGCTGTTCGATAAAGCATTAGATTGCTTGTGTGCTTCAACTTTTCCAAAAGGGATGTTCCGGGTGCAGAGTAGTGCTTTTTTAACGCCTGCTATACTATGCATTTTGTCCAGGCCAAAACGGTGCCGAAACAGATCGCAATACCTACGTCGTATCGGGTAACGATGCTATCGCTTAAAGAAGTGCTTACGAGTGGTTTGCTAGCTTCGAAAACAGTGCCCGAAGCTTAGACGGGTTCCCGCTTTAGCGCCCGTTTGAATTTGCGAAGGATCATATGAAAGCATTTTTGAAAGAAGACGGTCAATGAACAGGGGCACACGACGAACGCGAAAAGATTGGCTGCAGCCACACAATCATCATTGACCACCTCACCTTAGGTTTACACAGTAGCCTGGAGCTTGAGTACCTCATGAAATCTCTGGATCTCGCACATCAACAACATCTCGCACGGCGTTGAGCGTCACGCAGTTACAATAACCGATTGTTATTTTCACCGGCCATGAGAAGCTACCTGTACATCAACGTAAGTAAAAGATCGCAGTGAGCAAACCCAGGAGAGAAGCCAAGGCCCGGTATTACCAAAAAAAAAATTATGCATTCCGTTTGGTGTAACTGCAAGAGCCTGATTTACTGAAGATTTCCTTTTGTCAATTAGGCAGTTGGTTAGCACATTTATTTGGTAGTTGCGTGAGGTTAACTTGGCACATGTGTCCCTCGAATCATGCAAAACCAGGTGATTCAGTGGGAAAAACTCGACAGACAAGATCAGGTCATGATAACAAAAGGCCACACACAGCAAAGATCGTCAAAGTTTCCTTCTTGAACTTCAAGCGGAAGGTTTAGCTACGCCCTTTATATTCTACGGACTTTGCGCCGACGGATTTTCATCTTTCCCTTTCACTGACAAATTAAATTGAAAGCTACACATTCGACAGTGAAAAGGGTTTCAAAACCTGGCCGGACGAGCTTCTCAACACTAAACGTAAATATTTGCAACGAGAAGGAACAAGCGAAATAATCTACAGCTGATAAAAAGTTGTGAACAATGACGGATGATGCACAACATGGTAACTGTCAGAAGAATCAAAGTGTTGTATTTTTGATTCAGTGAAAAGGTGTGGGTACACTCTGACAAATCTAATATTTCCATAATAAGATGAGGTAATTCAATAATAAGATGAGAGCAAAAGCTCTATGTTATATGCAAATCCTGATTGTGATTAGATACAGGAACAACAACGAAACAACGATATAAGACTACCCAGTTTGTGCATTTGATTGAATTAACTTGAATTCTATTTATAATGTTACTACGTACTCAAGAATGGTAAATGTGAAATAATAAGTAATAGCTTTAGCTAATTCGCAACATAATACAATAAGTAAATGCCACCCTCGAAAGACCTACTTGAAGTTATACATGTATACCAAAAAAAAGCAGTTCTTTATTGTACGCATGCTATGTTACATACTAAAGCTAATGACAACGTGTAATCCCATATACCATCAGTATTACAACAATGTATTCTTTTCCTAAGCAGATACATATCTTTGCATGTTGCCTACAGCAAAATTTAATGAGTTATTCAACGTAAAATATGTGATAATGGTTTATAAAAAATAATAACGACATGGAAAATCGATGAGTTTTAATTACCATCTTTGTAATGAAAACCGTTCATTGTAGTTAACTGAACTTTCACATTTAAGTTTGTGCCAGAAATTACTACTCTTCATTGTGACATATGTTTTAAATACAAGTCTAATATAATATGAAAAATAATTCGTTTATTTCTTTTTGCGTAAAGAGAGCTCAATCTATAATCGCTCTACCATTCTGTAGTATCAATGCCAAGTGCAAAAAAAAGTGAAGACGTTTTGTCCGTTGGTGACCAGTAAGCATGAAGAAATCTCTTTTCTATACTAAAGGAAGGTAAAATGCACGCATTATTCAAGGTGCGCGGCTTCACATGAGCTACTGAACGTCGCACTGAGCAGGAAGTTACATAGTATTGGCAAGAATAAAACGAAAAACTCGCAATTCATAGCTAACACCACTTATTGGTTTTAATTGAAATAGCCATCACACACAGAATTAATATATATATAGCAAAAGGTCGAAGTGACTTGATTAACGGTAAGCGGTAGTTCTCGCAGTTCATACACCATCTTGTATACATATATTGAAAAGGGTCTTCCTTTCTACACAATGGAACGCTGCTCGTATCTGTAATCTTCTACCTACAATATCTTGATTAATCTGTTAAAGTCCATTTTGTAAAGTGGTAAAGCATTCTCTATAACCATCCAACTATCATCATTGTACTTCAAAGGATCACTAACCTACTCTGTATTGTAATCTAAATTCAACAACCTATATCCACTTAGTTCTAAAGTCAGCTAGCCTCTTAGCAGATCGTTGTTTGCATAGACAATGAATTTATAAAGCTAGGTTAATAATTCTAGAATACTAGAGTAACAGCTTATTCCCCTAGTTTGGTTTTTAAAAAAAACCGACGTACAACAGTAGTCGTAATTGTCTTGGCTGGTATACCAAGATTGAGAAAGGGAATTAGGGCTGAGTTATCGTAAAACTTTTACGTGATTTTAAACTGCGCACAACTAAAATTATGCACATAATAACACAGATAAAAAATTATGCATACAATTTAAATTTTATTGACTCACTCAATCAATTGTCACTTGAACAAATACTTGCACCATTCAGTCACTAATTTATTGAAGTGCGGCTTTTTTGAAGCGGAGAAGGGTAACAATTGCAATATATGCCCCCATAATCCAAAAATAGTAATGAATAAATGTATCATTAAACGTATTGAATCTAGAAGAAGATTACTGCTTGATATCTATGTATAAGTTCGCGGGTGTTCACTTGCAAGTTCATTGTGGTGCGTGATGAGGTCGCTAAGATACTGAGCTAGTCCAAAAGCTGAAGTCAGCGGAAGCAGGCGCTGAAATGTATCGTCAAAAGAAGTATACAGGTTATACCACAAGTACCAGTGAGAAAATTCGTAACAACCTTAACCCAAGCCAGTGAAATCAAAAGCCAAATTTCTTCACATCGTCAGGCATAAGGCAGCAGACCACTATGGTCAGCAACTATAATGAGCAAAGGCGAAAAGAAAAAAGAAAATGCTGGTGTCATGTCAGGGCATTCGAACCGTTCGAGCCTTCATCTCTAAACAACAGCTAGAATTCATTGAACACACCAAACGTTTCCGAGGGTAGTGGCAACTATCCACAAACGAAGCAGCGATCCACAAACGCCAGTACCTAACGGGCATCGAGAAGCACTATAAACTGATGGAAATGGAAGTGGGCAGTGCACTACGTTAAATCGCTTACCTGTATTTCTATAGCTACATCCGGTAGCAGTCCGACGGACACTCCAACGGAAGTTCCGTGATAGATTGAGGGCAGGAAAGGCATATTAGTCGCAAGATACGCACAAAACATGTCGACTTTCGCTGTCCGGCTAAGATGAGTATATTCGTTAACATACTCATTTACTAAATATCGTCACTGGACTATCGGCAAAAAATCACGAAAATCTTATCGCAGTAAAATGAAATAACGTTTCGTATTTCACAAGCGATTCACCTACACATTTGTGGATTCAATGTAAGTCCGTTAAGTGGAACGCATTTTCAGTAAATCGAGTTAGTAAGGTTCAACATCCGTTAAAAGCCAATAAGTGGATTGCCTAAGATTAAAAATTATTTTCCGGATGTAGCATTGAGAGGTCTATCACTGTATAACACTAAAATGGAAGAGCTTGGCTATCGCCAACCAAACCTGCAAAAATAAATTATAAATTATGCAATCTCGATAAAAAATCGAAGTAATCGCTTGACACCTCAATCAAAATCGAGTGGAAAAGTAATGAGTTGTCGTGCGTTGTCCCTTTGAGCACACTGGCAACGCTTACAACTCTATTGGATGCCGATTCTTTTTCAGATTGGTCTAGAGTGACACGAATACTGGTATATGCGCCTCATCAACAAAGTTAAAAAAAAGGGACTTCGGTTATAATGAAACGTTCTTGAGTCTAACAAATTCGAATTGGCTTATTAGTCGTTTTTTGCGACATTCAATGTAAAAACTTTCCGACAGAAGTCGCGTATAATGGTAATGTCCAGAACAGAAGTAACGTGTTTTACCAGTACACATTATACATACACCTAGAAGATGGTGGTGGTCTGCTACGGTGCAAGTCGCGCCTCAAAAAATCTAAAGAATTTTCCTATTATAAAAAATACTCAATTTTCCGACCTGGCAATAAATAAATTTGTTAAATTACTAGAAAGCTGGACATCTGGTCAAATGTCTGCACGCCGTGGGGTTAACAGTGACATTGCATAATCTTAGATCGTTGTACCCAGTTATCGACGCAAAAAAGGAGTCAAGATCATACTTTTTTTTTCTAATTGTAAAGTTTACTTTAAGTTGAAAGTATGTCTAGAAATTCAGTTTGTTCAGATACCGCGAATTCACACTCGAACGGGCACCTCCATTCGTATACAGTAGACTTTATGGGCCTGATTTATGGTGGTGACAAAAGTTGCGAAAAGTGCAGGAGTTATAGCGTGCTGTTTGTTTGCGCAATCAGAAGGACCGTATACTTGGCATTGGTATTGAATCTAACTACGGTTAAATTTTTGCTTTCGCTGCGCAGGTTTATCAGTAGAAATCCAATAGCAGACATAACTTTAAGCGATTTATTACACCACCTCAGTCCGGTTCTTGGTGGAATCGGCTACCTCAAATCGTGAAACATCCGTTCCGCAAAGATTTTTCAAACGAATTGCGTACGTTTTCGAGAACTCGCAACAATTTAGACGAATTCTGATGCAACTGTAAGTAGCCGGTCGATAACTAGAGTACCGTTGGACTCCTTGTAAATTAGCCCCATTTGTCCCGCGGTTTTACTATACGTCTATTGTATTTCATACACTGTAAAAAAAATAGACTACTCAAACTTTATGGCATTTGTATTCTGCGTAGTCAGGCTCCCTTGCACATATTGTTGTTAGCTTGCGTAATTACATCAGTCAGCAAAGAAAGGACTAACCTCAGACGACATTCATGCTTTATCAAATTGTCTAACGGTCAGCAATATAAAAGACTTATTATCTGCTATAGTGAGTGAAAGTTAACTAAGCTAAGATGGAATAATTGAGGATTCCGAACGAACTAAATCGCAATACTCGTCGTATTACGAGGCTTTGCTTTGACAGAGATAAGATGATACCCTTCGATTGCTTGCGGATTGTCTTCTTTTGCCATATATACGCTCCGGACGCACCAACAGACTTAAGATTCCCATATAATATAGATTCATTTCAAACTGTATCACGTCTTCGATCTATTTCAACGTACAACCCAAAATGGGATCTCAGATGAGAATTTTGTTGCCTCCACGTCATTCGAACCGCAGGTCTCTTTTGTTCTTTGGCTATTGTTTCTTTTACTTATGGCGGTCGTTTTGAACTAAGAGAGAAGATTTTCAAAGACCTGATGAAGGTGTCTCCTAGCAAAAGAAAAAAAATGCTACCATTGATGATAGCAAAGACACATACACATGATGCATAGCTAAGAAGACAAACGTGTGCCTTTTGTGGTAACCGCCGAGCATCTCAAAAGCCACAGGCCGTGAGGCACTCCTGGCGGAACGTTGGCCAAAGAAAGACCTTTGAATGCTCATATCTGATTGCTACTAAAAAAACTGTGATGAACTGTCTTTCTTATTTGAATATATATTAAAGGGAAAACACGGCTTGTACTTAGATACATGGGAAGATATAATACGTTATTATAAAACATATAAGACATTGTATATGGTAAGCATAAGATGTACGTGAAAAAGCGAAACATGATCTGATAGCAATGAAGACGTGTTTTTAGGTTAGCTTGCAACATTCTTAGTTGAACAGATAATTAGTAAGCCACGCACTTATCCCTAAAAATGACAGTATAGCATGAATAATATTATCAGTAAGTTAGAGAACAACAGAGAGTCTTACGTGCAGTAAGCACAGCTTATACTGGGAGGGTAGTGTTAGGTTGGAGTATAAGTAATTACAAACTTTCCGAGCTGATAACAAACGCAGCGTTTCAGCCGAATTCTAGCTTAGTTTATTACGTATTCGCCTCACTCGCTGTGACTTTCTCTCATATGTCAAATAATATATTCCTTTTTATCAGAAATTTTCTAAATTACTGTTGAAGAGCTCGTTCAGTCAAATTTTGAGATGTCTTCGTTGTTAAACACTCTGTCGAGTATTTTTTGTAGGATAGTCTCGTTGACTCTATGCAAATCGGCTATATACACATTCTTCTAAAACCCTTCCTGTCCCGCCAAATGCAAATCATCATCTTCTTGTTATGAAACCTGACCTAACTATTCCGAAACTAGCCATACTTCTCTTGGTCTTGCATAAACACAGAAACGCCACTTTTCATCACCAGTGATAATTTCCTGTAGAATCCTATCATTGAGGTTGTTTGTTATTCGATGCTGGGCGAGATGTTGAGAAACTGTGTTTCTTTGTGATATTCACTCAGCTCACAGAGCACTAGGGTTTTTGAGTCACCCGCCTAATGATCGAATCCTTAGATAACCATTTTTCACTAAAAGTATCTTTAATAGCTCCACATCGATTTAAGATTATCGACCGTAGCAAACTGTATTTTCCAGTGTTAGGATGCCATTCCCAAGCGTTGTAAATAGTTTTGAGCAGTGCTTCGATAGCTACGTAATCTCGGCAAACGACGAGGTGTTAAAAATACACTTTTTCACCGATAAAATCTTTGGAGCTTTACTTCGAAAGAAATTACAACGGTTTTGCAGCGAGCAAAAAAGCACTTTTGAATATCGAGCAAAAGTGGAGAAAAAGAACATTCAACACGATACGACAGTATTTACATTTTAGCA